ACAGAAACTATTTTCTCCAAACAGGAAAAGGACATGTTCTGCTTATTCTGGTGTTGATGAGTCAGGTTTGTGTGTGTTCTGAAGAGCGAAGAAAGCGAACGATTAGATCTTTGTTTTGATCATTTTTGATCCAATTCCATACTTTGAATGGTTGTTCTTGTCCTTTTCTTTTTCTTTTTGTTTTCTTGTCTCTAACTCGTTGCCTCGATCCCTCACAGGTTTCTTACTTGACTGTCTCACCGATGTCAGAGTTTTTGATTGAACCACTTCGTACTAATAGAGACGCAGCAGCAATGAATTTGATAGGAGACGCACAGCTGCTTGCAAACATTCAGTTCAGTTTCATGTCTCAGCACGTTGGCCGGTGTTTTGAAGATTCAGGGTTTCAGATTTGCGTGAGATGGGCGATGTCAGCCTCTGCAGTGAGGAAGCGCAGCACGAATTCCGCTTTTTGATCTGCCAATTAGAGTATGTATATATATATATATACATATAAATAGTTTGCCTCACTGAACGGCAGAAATTGTGCGAAGCAAATACCTCCGCCTGAATAGAACGGATATACTGCTCTCTCTGAATTGTCCTTTGTATTTCCTGCATGAGGGAATGGTTCCTTGAGTGCAAATGCTTCGGTGGGTTTTCATTCGACTATTTCTTTCCCTGAGTACCTTTCGAGTTTGTTTGGACTTTGTGAGTTGACATCGAGGCCCGTGAGAGCACTGCAAACGACGTCCGAAGAAGGTTCGAGGGAACGCAGCTGATGGAAGGGGAGGAGGAAACGCAGCTGTGCTGAAAGAAGTGGGAGATGTCAGAAGCTGTGCTGAAAGAAGGTGCGGCAGTGTGCTTCCTTCCGAAATGGGTGCAGGGCGTCATACCTTTTCTAAAAGGATTCTGTCGTCACTTCACAAAAGTGAAAGGCTTTACTTTGGTTTGAGGGAAGACAATGATTTTCAAGGCCATGTGAAAGACAACGCTTGCAAACCCTTTTGACAAGTGCTGCAAAACACAAACAAAATATAACAAAATAGAGCCTAGGAAAGAGCTGAAAGATTTGAGGGTCGGGTGCTAGTCACCGTTTCACTGAAACACCTTGAAAGACAAGGCCCAAGCCGTTTTTGCAAGCCGTTTACTAAACGTGTTGTTTGCTGTTGCCCGGAGGGAAACTTGAGATGTCAAACAATGGATCAGGCTGTGCGGACGCTTTGGCATTCAAAGGTGATATCTGACTGGCCAAGTGTGGGAACTTTGGCCAACACAACACCCACAGAGATGCCGTCACCCTTTCTTGAAAAACGGATTAACATTGACATATACATGTGATCCTGTTCTTTGACCTGGACCCCAAGGTCCTCCATTCTCCATTACATTCGATTGTCTTCTGCAAGTCGCAACAGTCATGAGAAAGCTTTCGACATGGCTGTGGGTGAAACCAATCCTCAACACTCCCAACACCATATTGCTTGACTTGGACTTGGACTTCCATAAACTATTCTTGAAACTGTTTTGTTCGCAAACTCTTCCTGGTTCTCCCCATCGAAGCTGCGTCCAAGCTAGGCACAAACGACCAAACGACATGTCCTCAACGGCTCCAAACGGCATGTCTGCCATCCAAAACAAGTCTGCACCACGTCCGGTTCGACTCCTCCAACCGGCTTCGTCGTTCGGCCGAAGGCCGAAGGCACAAGTCGTTGAGCCCTCGGTGGATCTTTGTTGGTCTTGCTTTTAGCCCGGGGGGGTAGGCCATAGAGGTAGGTTAGCTAGGCAGGTAGCTAGTAGATGCTAGTAGGTAGCTAGGTAGCTACAAGAACGCTACTACCTCGGACGCAGGATAGCTCTCGCTTCCTGGCGGCGGGGGAAGCTTCCTTGAAGAAGCGCTCGCACGAGTGATTTAGGGAAACTTAAGGTACGGCACTTGCTTTTGGAGCACTATTCTCCGAATAGATGCCAAATCTTAAACGGGTACCATATACAGTATATACATACCTACATACATACCATTAGATTAGATTAGATTAGATTAGATTAGATTACATTACATTACATTACATACAATTACATTACATTGCGTGACATGACATGACATGACATGACATTACAATACAATACAATACATGCATACATACATGATTATTATATATATATACGATATCGATCGCTCTTTTCAACCGACCGCGGCAATCACAACCGACTTCAAGGCTTGCTACAAACCGTCCCTCCCTCGTCGCCCCGGACGTCGCCGGCGTCGCCCCCTGCCGTCCTTCTCGTCCATGGGGTCCCCTGAACGGAACTGTCGGATACCTGGCATCGGCGGTGTTGGGAGACAAAATCGTTTTTCCGGCAAAAACGGAAAGCCATAGTGTTTGGGGTGGTGTTCACCATGGTTTCCTGCAGATGTTGCCTTGAATCAATTCAATTGCCTCTGGTATCCAATCGCTGACAGGTATGACCCGGGAGTCGAAGCCTGCGCCTGGTTGTCCCGATGTGATCGTTGGCTCTTCGAGTCAATGATAAGTTATTCCTTGAATGGTCTTGAAGATCCCCAGTGATGTTAAAGGCCTTAGCAAGTTGTGCGAAACCTGAAATAGATACCTTATGAATCTTATAGTTTTTCCCTTAAGTAGGGACCATGTTGGTGTCACCCTAGAATATGTGTATTTAGTTATTTCAGGGTCCTAGTCTCTGGTACATCAAAATCAACTATTTCACCTTGAAGGAACAATTTTGGGGAAAATGCTTGCTGGGATGTTGGGTAACGTGTGAAAACTGTGCAAAGCATGTCTTGCAGCGCGTAGGCGGTGGAGAGGTTCAGGGTGAATGTTATTCCATTGCAACCCCCACCATGTGCCTCGTGGGGTCCGCAGAAATTATTCTGCAAACGTTTAATTTAGTCCTGCAAAATCATTCCTGAAGGAGCGGCTTTATGATATTTTATGATGCTTTGTGCCTTGTGCCTCCACAAATAAGACAATGAAAGGGCAACATCTAGGGAGTGGGGGATGGAAAACCAGAGCAGTCTGATCCCAAAACTCCAAGGTACCCGAGCTACCCCCACCTGGCTTCTTGGCCCCAAGGCTGCTCATGACCTGTTGTGCTCGTTCGGAAAAGCCAGTCAGCTACTTGCTGTAGGATCTTTTTCAGTGGTTGATAGGCATAAATACACATAAAATAGATCGATCAAGTACCCTGAATGTTTCAACACAGAACCCAGTACAACCCCTGAAACCATAACATAGACGCTAAAAAGTCGGTCCCCAAAATGACATCAACGACTGCTGGATGCTTCTGAGCCCGGTGGCCTAATGTTCGCTTTCCGTGTATACAGTATACATGCTTGTTGAATTTTGTTGAAGTCCACCCTCTTCGCGCAACTTCCGTCTGAACTTACCATCCTTCAACACCGGCATCTGAGATGCAGGCGCTAAAAGACACCGCGCGGCCAACGGTCCCGCGGGCAACGAATTCTGCTTTTGCTTGACGCTTGCTGTGCTTTAAGTGCTCAAACGAGGACATACCTAGGCTACCTACACTCACTATCACTACCCCATTCAAGGGACGAAATTGAGGAACGAAACGTGCACTTGCTCCTGAGATTTATGTCTATCACCAGTCCAAAACCCTAAGTTTAAAAATGGTCGTGTGTTCAGGCAAATGCTTAGGATAAGAGCATCGATCACATACGGCTTCCAAAATGTTCCGGAAGTTTAGATCAATCGTGTCTCTCATGTTTTCGTGCTATTCCTTGAACGCTCATCGCTTTGTGCCACAAAATTGGATCAAAGTAGTCCTGGTTGAGAACTGCTGGCACTGTCTCATTCGCAACCAATCTTGAGAAAAGAACTCAAGCCGCAGAACATCGCAGAAATATATCGAATCGTTTAAAGAGTCACCAGACCAGCTCCATGAATTGCTGGTAGAGCCTTGCCACATTTTCCTCAAACACGCAAGATCAACTTGGTTGTTTAGAAAATCCTCCAGGTTGTGGCTCCAAATCTTCCCCCGGTCCTGCCAGGTTCCAAAAATGCCCACCTTCGACACACGCACACCATGTGTTGCTCTGTCTCGTCCATGTCAGGGTGAGCAGTCGATGAAGGTGATATTGGTAGACTCTGGTAGACAGTTCTTCATGTTCTCAAAGGGTGTAAATGGGTTGCGATTTGCTATCTTTAGGGACAGGTTTCTCCTAGGATCATCTGCAACAACTTTTTCCACCACCCCAGACTTCAAGATGCTTTCGCCCTCTTTTTGTTTCCCGATGCCTGGCAAACACCGACCCCACGCATCAGTCCGACCAATCCGACGTGATCATGACTGATGTGACACCGAGAAATGCACTGCCGCCCCATCCACCACGAGGAGTCAGTTTTTCACATGACAGGTCCCTGAAGTTTGAACCAGCTTCATGAGCCCAGTGAAAACTGGTTCAGCGTAACCGCCCAGTGAAAACCACTATCCGGTGTCCAAAAGAAAGTCAACATCCGGCCCCGTCAAATCAATCTCAAAGCCACATTGATAATAGAAACATATAGAAACTACATGAAAGTACTGGATCGTGCCTTGATCTGATCTCAAAGAATATGTTCAACTCGTGTGTGGACTAGGCCGTGTGTGCTCCCCAAGTGGCATGCCGGCCGAGCTTCAGGGCGAGTTTGCTTCCCCAAAGAGTCAGAATATGGATCTTCCCAACCCAGGGTTTGAAAGAGGGCGCAACTGCCTAAAACCTTTTCGCACGCAAACACAAACATAAGACAATGCTATTCTGGCAGAACCAGCAGCACACAAAAGGAACCTAGTGTTCTTGCTCCTGTCGCTACAGTAGTCTCTACACTGGTCATGATCGCAGTAGTATTTGTATGCATTTGTGCGTTCTCCAGTCACCAAAACTTCGAAACGTAACATCAATTAGGTCCTCAGCGTGAAAGCAGGTCATGATCACAGTAAGTTTCTGCATGCACAGGGAGACTTCAGTTCCTCACGTTTCTTCATGACCAGTGTGATACTCCCCTGTGTCTCGTGGTTCCTCCTCAAGGGCGTCGTAGAGTATACAGTATACTGGGTCCACTGGAATCTGCGAAGGCATGAAAGCTGCTGCCACCAGTTGCTGGGCGCTTATGCCATTCACTGTGCATCGAATTACGCGCATTGTTCTAGAGGAAAAAACAAAGAGGTTTGACTGAGCATGATTGGCAATGCTCCAGTTCAAAAACACTGCGATAGCATTCGCTCCTCCATGCAGTGTGGCTTGTGTATAACAGTGTATATACATCACATCAGCACATCAAGAACAGGCCATCAGCTGTCCATGCATGGTGCACACTCAAAAATAGGGATCCTGCCCTCATTCTGAGTGATGTTCTTGAAGTGTGTTCTGATTATCGCAGATCTGTTTGCAAGGCCTATGATATCACAGCCTCATGTTGTCTCACATGTCCACTTCACAGTCTCATATCTGTTGATGCAAGCGCAGCAACTACGTAGGATTTGGTCACCTTCGAATGGCATCGAAACCTTAGAAGGGACCATTTCGATCAAAGACTGGGACCGTTTGGATCGCTGCCTTCGACCGAAACGTGAACACTCATCTCTGAGCCAATCACATCGCTCAGTCAAACCATGACCCTAAATCGAAAGGCTCACTGCTTTCCAAAGAGTACCTGCATCAGAAAAAAATACTTGACCGGCTGACACTGATCGTTTTCATATCTTACAAGTATCTGCACAAAGGCAGAGGAAAGAGGCCAGCCCCTGCGAACTCGCTAGACATTGGGTGTAACTTTACTCCAAAGGTTTCGCGACACTGCTGGAAACCTCAAGCCTTCAGTGCGTAGAGTAACTGGTCAAATCCTCTTCAAGCCCCCAACTTCCCGTTGCGCGCCTTCAAGCTGTTGCTTTTCTGTGCCACTCGCAATCGACCCGTGGGCGGCTCCCCACCCGTGGGCGTTGGCGTTCCGCTGGCGGAACGTTCCGGCCGCGTGGCCTTGCCGAAGCCGTGGGCCTTCCGCGGGCGCTTGGCCGTGCGATCGAAGACGCCCATGTCCTGCGCGAAGGGAGACGAGGCCGAGCGAGTGCTCGAGAGTCGATGGGAGGAAGCGTCAAGCACTGCGATGGGCCGTGTTCTTTCTTGGTGTGAAGGATCTCGATTTTGTGAGTCGAAGGAACGGAAAGAGTCTGAGAATTCTGCCCGTTGTCACTGTGGCTCGTCAACGGCCTTGATTTTTTTTGGTCTTCAAAAGGGAGGAAAATTAGGATTACTCCCGGGTCTCCTCCTCTTCTTCTTCCGGTCGCCACAACATTGACCGCTTGGAGCCACCTGTGAGATAATGAAAGAAGTGGTGGCTGGGAGCCACCTACGCAGGATGATGACATTGAAATCCGCCCGCACCAAAGGTGCTCAGGGCGTGATCATCCGGATGGCATAAACAACTGTAAGGTACAGGTTTAGGGGGGGGCATTAATGGTGAAACCAGTGGGTTTTTGATAGGTCGCGGACTTCAAAAAACATCAAAAAACACTGTTTTTTACAGCACGGAATGGACTAGTTCGTGCATGCGCCCGCCCAGAACCGGCAATAGAACAGTGAAAAAACAAATGTTTTTTTACTTTTGGTCTTCGATTTTTGGTTTTGAGACGCGTAATTATGTTGCTCATGTGTCTTGTCGGGAGGCCGGGGGCCAGATTTTGTGATTTCGGAGCTATTTGGGTGACGGTTTTCGCCGCTCTTGTTGGGCAGAAACATTGGTTTTTGCATGTTTGTGCTGTGTTTTTGTACATTGCCGAGGCTTGACGTCTTTGCGCAAAAATGTAAAAAACCTCGCAAATAGCAGTGTTTTTGGCGACCATGTCGTTGAACACGTCGCAAATTGCGGTGTTTTTTGACAGCCGGTTCAAAAACACTGTAAATAGCAGTGCTTTGGGCCACGGCAAGCTCAAAAACATCGCCACCTGCAGTGGTTTCTGCCTCACAAAGCATAAAAACACTGTAAAGTACGGTACATAGTGGGGCTTTCGGCAGCGTCAATGGCAACATGATGAACCCTGGTGATATGTGGCGATGAATGAAGATAGCGCATACTTCTGGAGTATTACCTTCTATGATCGTTGTTGCGTCATGCCATCACTCATCCGACTCGATATTGACTTGTAGGGGTTTTCTGATTTCGAGGCTGTGTGAGTGACAGTTTTCGCCCTTGTTGTTGGGCAACTGTTTCATGGCGGTGCGGGCGAACCTTGCCGCGGAGCGGCGTGAATACTCCATGGAACCAGTCACATGTTTCAGGTTCTTGGAAAGACAATGCAAATACTACCCGCAGTGTTCATCCTTTCTTCCATTCTGGCTGAACCCCTCAGTCACAACAGTCACAACACTGAAGTTCTTTAAGGATGAATCCTGAAGTGCCCCGAAAGAACGTCGACTCCCGCGCGGCGGGATGCAGCTCCCCAAGACCGTCTCAGAAGCGAGAAATGTGGATTTCTCGGTCTCTTAAAACCCCAAATGGAATTGTTCGCTACTAGGAACAAGTGCATCGCTTCTAGTAACAAGTGCCTTATTAGTAGTAACAAGAAGCTACTAGAAAAACAAGTGCATCGTTGGCTGGGCTCTGTGCTTAGAGAATCGTAACCTGGACTCAATATGTCACATGTCTCAATGGCCAGTGCAGACTCCATTGAAACACTCCCAAGACCCCTTGGGTTCCCACTTGGCGTTGCCACCGGCCGTTGGTCCACACTAGCCTGGTGGCTCCAAGATAGTGAAAATCCTGCTTTTGCAAGAACATGTTCTCTTGTACTACTCTGCAAACCTCGTGCAGACCATCTTTCTCTGAGCACTACTTGCATCCAGTGGTTCTTCTTTGACAGAAAGCCTTTGTAGGGGCTCCCTTGTTCTTTCTCAAACGCATCCCTAATAAGGACAGCAGGCTGGCTTGTCTGTGTCTTACTGCAGGTTCATGTTCTCTGACATGGGGTCAATGAAACACCACCACGACATGAGGCCAGCGACAGCAGTATGGATACTCTCTGGCGAGGAAGGTGGCCGCTCATCCCCTTGGCAAGGATGTTGGCGATGATCAGGCTGCTTCGAAAAAGACGACTTCAGCTCCCTTTCAAGTCTATGTTCTGCGAAAGTTGTGCAAGTCCCATTAAGTTTCCCTAAAAATCTAGGAACCAAATCATTAGTGCGAACGCTTCTTCAAGGAAGCTCACCCCCGCCCTCAGGCGGGGGGAGCTTCCTTGAAGAAGCGTGAGCTATCCTGCGTCCTAGCTAAGAGCGAACTTCTCCGTAACTTAATTAAGTAGGTGCCTACTTGATTGAGTAGGAGAGGGGTAAAGATAGGGAAAACATGTATTTAAAGGTTTTATACACTTCGTGTAGAATGTCTTGCATCTTTACAACTATCACCACTCTTCGTCTGCGACCAGTGGTGCTTGGACTCTAACGGTTGGACTTCCAAGGACTGGCCGACTCGCTCGAAATAGACAGGTTGCTGTAGCTCCTCGTCCGCCAGAACGGTCCGTCGGAAAAGACCAGAACCCGCGTCCGGTCTCAAGTTATCTGTGGGTAAGCCTCGCATTGATGTTCTTTTTTGATGTAGGTCCAACAAAAAGATCTGTGCCAACAAGTTACATAAGCCCTTTTGGTTGGACTTGGAGCGTTCTCACTCTATATACAGTGCATGTTTTCTCGATAGTGCCTCTCTTTATTCATTTCAGCTCAGCAGGCCAGCTCTGATGCAACAATCGATCGATCATCGATGGATCAAGAAGATGTTGGAACCAGGTGACCACCCCAGAAACTTGCCAAGAGAGCATCGCCCCACTGAAATGGCCATGGGCGATATCAGTGGTTGGCCTAGCTGAAAGTGAGACATGACTCGATAGTCACCAGTACGGGCAAGCGGGTAAACATGTATACCTGTGAATTCGCAATCTAGTATAGTGTATTGAAAACATAGCGTCTTCAGAACTAGTGGCTAACAGGCACGAGCCATGCTACGAAAAGAACATGTAAGTGTACCTTCAAACGAGGCCAAGGGACACAGGTATTGACTGTAGTAACAAGAAGCTAGTAGTAACAAGTGCCACGCTAGTAGTAACAGGTGCCTTACTAGTAGAAACAAGAAGCTAGTAGAAACAAGAAGCTAGTAGTAACAAGTGCTGGTTTCGACGTGTTGCAACCACTGTGCCCGACCACTCCGCTCCTGCTGAGTTGACGTTTAAATTCAGCGAGGCTGGTGCCCTGACCATCAGAGCCGGGGAGTACAGTAAATCTTCGGAACATCTTGACAATAAAAATAAAAACAAAACTTGCAAGTCTAAGCCAACGCTGAAGGGTCAACTTCACCCATCTTGCCAGGAACAAACTCTCTCTCTCTCTCTCTGGGCAAACTAAGTTCGGAAACGTTTGCTCAAAAAAAAAAGCGTTTCAAAAATGATAGACATGGACATTGTGGCGATTCGTATCTTACTCGATCCTATCTTCTAGCAAGTTTCTCCCCAACGTAACTGCCGATAAAAACATATGATTGCCCTTTTTAATTGGACATTCAAACATGATGCAGGGAAAAGCTTGAAGGGACACAGCAAGAGCTAGATTCGGCGAAGCCAAATAAGCCGTCCCAAAAAGAGACAGACAGTGCGCTGGAATCACAAGATGAGTTCCTTTCCATAAAAAAAAGACAGAGTTCCGTTCAGCCGCCTGCCTTCACTTTGGACACCTGCCAAGGATGCCAAACCCGCAAAGCAACTCCTATGGTCATAAGGATATGAGACGACATAAGCATTGTTTCTAATAGCTTCTTGTTACTACTAGTAAGGCACTTGTTACTAGTAGCGATGCACTTGTTACTAGTAGCGACATAAGCACCTAAAGTTTGACCGTGACCTAGACAATCCCAATCGAAGGGTTGTGTCTGTATGGGACTCACTTCTTGCCTTCTTGCACAAATCTTCCTTCGGTAAATCGCATTTAGTTGGGAATTTCTGAGATCTCTGTGCTGGGAATGTTGAAAGACTACTGAAGTTGAGTTGCACTTTGGAATAGAAAAGCCCTGGCCACGAAGAGGTATCCGATCACCAGCTTTCTTGGGAGGTGCGCCACTCGTGCTCACATTGCTGTCCCCTGGTCCCACAGAATCAATGCCCAGCCAGAGATGAGGAAGACCGAAAACTGCTACTTGTTACTAGTAGTAATGCCCTTTGCTACTAGTAGCGTCCTTGTTACTGCTTGAAGAGACGTCGTCCAAACCGAAATTGTTCAACTTGGTCACAGGCGATGTTCAGTGCACCCCAACCTAGAAGTCTTCAGCTGGATGTGCTCGATCCAACACTTCAGACAGAATGCTGCTGTGTGATTGGCTTCAAGGCGTTGTCAAGGGTCAACTGTGTCCCAGAACACCGACCATTTGCCGCACAGAAACATCGGAGCTTGACCCAATTCAATATCGTCGTCCCATTCTCGGCGCAAAATGAAGAAGCCTAACGGAAAGCTTCGACATCAAAACAAGCTCCTCAACGTGGGCTCACGGCCTGAAACCGACATGTAGGGGAGCCAGACAGGTCTCGGCTCAGGTAAAGGTGTGAGAAAAAGTGGCGAGATCTGCTGTCTCGTGCATTGATCTGCTTGTACACAAACATTGTGTAGTCTGCCCAAAATCTCAATTTGGACGATGGTAAGCACTGTAAACACTGTAAACACCATCAATCTGATAAAAGCACCTCCTGCAAATGCTGAAAGCACAATTGTACCTCTAGCATCTGTCCAGCACAATCAAACAAACTCCGACACCACCTGTGGCCCCTCACTCTGTCAGTTACTCCTTGAGATACCCACAGTGCAGAAACAACACTTGCAGCCACTGCGTCCACAACAATGACATCCGCCCTCGTAGCAACTGGCTCGTGCACGCACGAAGCATCTTGAATGAAAAGCAAGGAAGCAACATCCCAGCCAGAGCACTGTCAAACACTTGTAAGTAAAAGTTGTTCCCACTTCGAAGTGCCTTTGCGGCTTTTGTTGTCTTTGTTGCTGTCTTTGCTGAAAGTGATCTGAAGTTGTGTCCGAGGATAAAGTAATCTCGGCATTAAGCACCTTCTGAAACGCCGTTATGGGAAACTACAAACCGGCCTTCAAGGCCTCCTTGACACTCCCAGCAAACCTGGAGGATCTTCAGGGCTCCTAGCACTTCTTTGAGGTCAGCATTTCATTTGCAGGTCTTGTCCAGGATGACCGTACAGGTTTATTACCCGGCTGTGAAGAAATCTCTCAGCGGAACCACTGATGCCAGCATACCCCTAAGGCCGCAAACTTTTTGAGGCAGCAAACTCATTGCATTGATTACAGTGAGGATCCGTTAATTAATGCAACGTTTTGTCAAATTCTTGCCATGAAAGCTCGCGGATCACGGGAAGGAACCAAGGCATAAAACATCTAGACTTGCTTGATTCCCCCCCATCTGTGAAAAAACACAAGCAAGTGACGCCCTTTCAGTCCAAGAAAATGCGTTGCTTCACCTACTACTCTCAACTAAAGTGGCCGCTTCGGCACATGGGACATGCTGAAATGTTGGAAAAGCGGACCTCCCAGGTGTCCATCCCTGCCGCCCCGTGCCGGCGCCTGCCGTGCCTCTGACCGGTCATCCATCCGTTGACAGGTCCTCTCGACGGCCTGTGGCGGCGTGTTTCGACGAGCCAAGGTTCAGACTTCACCAACAAATCGACTTCACCACTAACGTGTTTCCATAAAACCTTGGGGTTTTGCAACTGAGAATGGTGGGTTTTGCAAGAACTCTTCCATGAATGGCAAGCGGGGTTGTCGCAAGCATTTTGGGTAACTCTCTGTCAACAGCAAGTAGGGGTTGTCTAGATGGGGACGAAACAGCAAGAGAAAAGTGCCCAAGAGCTTTGGTAACGGCTGTCGTCGTTCATGGGATTGTCCTAAAGTCTGCAGAAAATAGAAGCTCTTTCAAGGATGAATTTGCATGATGCATCTACTGTACACTTGCCATGTTTCTCACTTGTATGGTATATCACTTTTTCTTGTGTATATAATATATATTATATAATCTTTTCTTGTAGGCAACTTCTCTGCAACGTCTCACCTCATTTTTAATATGGACTAACCTCGTATGTACCCGAAGGCCGCACGTGAGCCGAAGGCCGCGAGGGGTGGACTGAAAACGTCGATGCAAAGCATCAACTCGCCACCAGGAAAGTAGCAGGAAGAGACATCCAAAAACAACCTGTAGAAAAGAACGAATTGAGATCCCAACTGGCCATGTGTCCTGCTGATGACTCAACTCTTCAAACAGCAGGCAATACATCGCCACTCATCCAACAATCTCCAACTCCAGTCACCGGATGATCTCTGTCGCCTGCATGACCTCCACCTGCTGTCGCAGCTTCTCCACCTCCAAAAAGAAAAGCGGCGACCAACGCGGACCAAGATCCGCGCGCAAAATTGGGTCATCAGAATGTTGGTCATAAAAATGTGGCACGTATTGGACTTTTTGGAACACTCTCACTGGGGGGGTTAAGCAAAAGTTCTCAAAGCCAAGTGTCCAGAATGCAAACCGGATGGGGTCAACCTGTGTATCAAATTCATGTGCGGATGTTCCTAATGATGCCCAGTGATTTGTATCTCTGATCGACTCTAGTGCTTGATTTAAATGCAATGTTTGTCGAAAACGACCACTATTTGATACAGCTCAACTGATTTCTTCCATGAATCAGAGATCTAGCACCTGCTGCCAGCTCCTTTCTGATTTCTCCCTTACAAGTGTCTCAGCAACACCACATACCTCGCTCTCTGCCCTAGTTGGGGTGGGGTGCAGCTAAGTTGGGCTTCGTCAAACGACCAGATAGTACCAGGTACCTTTGATGGCCTTCCTCTTGCTTCAAACCCGGTTCAGCTCAGCACCTCCTGTCGAAGTCTAGACATCATCAACTCCGCCTGATGACGGTCTGTGTGACACAGGCGGGCGCGCACGTTCATGTGGGGGTGCCAAGATTGTCAGGGCGCTACTTCAGATTATTCCACCCCCCCACAAAGTTTGGAAGTGCTAGAGTACGAGTATCTCATACACGACATATACACGTGCACAAAAAACGGTGTCGTCATGGATAGGTACAGTGGTTCATGACAGGGGAACACTGTTCTTGCTTCCAGTGCTCATAATACCTCCCCACAGTTCGGGGCAGAAATAGGAAAATGTTAACAGTTGACAGGAACTTCCCTCAAATGGTATTTGTTAATTTTGAATAGCTCACAATATGACACAATATGACGATAGAACACAGCAGCATGCACACTCCCTTACCAAAAAACAACAGCCGCCGCTTCAGAAACCATAGGAACAAAAGTAGATGGAGAAATCCACTTTGTACCTTCAAGACTTCTCGACCAAAGACTTCAATACTTGAGCTCTGACCACATACACTACGAAAAGAAAAATGATCGTCACAGAATCCAGTCTCCGGCAACACCCAGAGCGATTCAGCAAGAAAAAGGAGAAGCGATGTTGCAATATTGACTTTGCTCAATGATGCAAATAATGATTGAATTCGATGGAATTGAGGTCTGGAGCTTTGGGAAGGACGCAAGGGCTTGCACGAAGTGCATCTGCTTGAGATGGGTACCCTGGAAAATTGTTGGTTTGCAGCTTTCTCGTCGACAAGAACTGCGTTGCTCAAATAACACAGCACAAAGTATGTCATTTATTTAGCTAATTTACACTATGTTAGAATTAGCGTTTGATTGAGACCATCTTCCTTTCCACAGGAAAATGCCAGGGGTCCGGGAGTGGGTAGCATTGTGCCAGAGAGGCCGGCCTCTCATGAAAAGAGGTCACGGAACCCTGCAGGTGGAGCCTTGAGTCGTATGGATCGACTAGAGTCCATCTCTTCACGAACTTGAGTCGAACTTGGGTCTGCACCAATACCTGCAACAGTGGATGCTTCTTACCTTTTTTAGTCAAGGCCCGCCGAAATCGGGCCTTTTCCCAAAAAGAGTTATATATATATATATATTCTATCAGTTTTTACCAACTGTTGCTGGTCATGGGACACACCCCAAGTCAAACAAGTCTTGATCGAACGAGTCAGTTCCGAGCATCCAACGAGTCAGCGCCCGCCTCCTCCGCCGCCTTCTGCCGGTCCAACGAGAGGCGCCTTGGAAAAAGAACACCAAGACAGTTCATAGATGGATCGTACCGTTGGTAGCGATGAGTTGATGAATTCTTGCAAGAGTACAATATCTCTCTACATCGTAGTATCATGTAGTATCTATGTGTAAAACCCCGGATTGCAGCTCCATCACCATCCCCCACTTCTGAAAGATGACCTGACCGAGCGCGTGCCGAGGGCGTGGCTGGGCATCGGCCTCTTGCCGAAGGGCGCTCACCAGCGCCGAGTGCAGCAGCTGGCTGCGCTCATGAGGCCCCACCTGTGTGTTCGGATCTATCGAGAACCAGGCGGTGCTCTCTGGAACGAAAAGAACTCCCTATTCTAGCGCAAAACACAAAGAAGAGTAGAAACCAGGGGTTCTTGGGTTCTTGAAAAAGTCAATCTGTTGAGTTTGGCTCCCAAACACTACGTATTGTGATCTTTGACGCATTTGACAAACACACAAACTGCATGCCGCAGCCACGCCAGCCTGCCGTAGCTTCCTACGCTCCTCCTCTAAGGCTTCCTGCTCCTCATGCCCAGACCAGGCCGTCACACGACGGCGTCTTGATCATGAAAACGAGCGCCACAGGCAGGTCCCCCGTGCATTAAAGCTGGACTATCATAAAGCGCTCTATGACTATCATAAAGAGCCCTCTGATGTGCAACCGCCAGAAAACAAACACAGTCATTTCCCTGGAACTCACATTGAGTTCTGAGGTGACATCTGGATGACAAGAACTGAAAGACTGCTGATACCAATGTGGTTGTCCTATCTGATGGTTTCGTTGCTGATGAAGGATACATGTATATCAATATATCCCAACAAACGCAAGTGCATCAAATATGAGTGAATTGGAATCTTATTGGAGCCTTAAGAATCACCCGTGACAGCCTCAGAAATGTTATTCATGCATAGCTTGAGGTGTTCTCCTGGTTAGGATGCTCACAAGATCTCACAAGTATTCGCTCCTTTCATTAACGATTAAGGGTAACGACCCCATTTGCACATACACTACAAGATGTGGCCTTTCATATGGTTCCCTCTTGGTCATCTGCGGACCATGTTTGGTCTGCCTCAAAAGCGAGTATTGAAGTTGCCACAGGTTCCCACCCAGCCTGGCGCGCCAAGACCGGCAGCTTGAGCTTGCCATGTTTCCTGAGTCGCAACTGGCGGGTTTCGGCCGGCCGAGCTGGGAGGTATTGGACATGGACGAAGTGCCAAGCCCCAGAGACTGCCGTCCATGTGGGGTACGGGTACCATTTGGGGTGCCGGCAGCCGTCCGAAACAAAACGCGTGTCGAGGCATGGCATAGCACTCCAGCTTGATTTTGGTATCTCCGATGTCTACCAGAGCCCTGTCAGCGACTTGGATCTGTTGCATCACCGATTTGCCAAAAAGGCACTCTTCTTCCAAATCTTGTTCTTTGCAACTATTTCCTCCGGGGGGCAAAAAGGGAACCAGGTCTAACCAAGAACAACAATGACACCCACCATCAGCATGGGCCCGTCATTTGTCAGCAAGTGATGTCAGGGCAAACCAGCTACCCCCCAATTTGTGCATGTAAGGCCTGGCTTTGATCCTGCAATTAACATTTATGATATATGCTGCATGGCTCCTTGAACCTGGGTTCTGGGATGCACACCCCGTGACCAGGGTTTTCTCCCAACTTACAAGGGCTGGGAGATCATCAACTGCTCACCCGGCGCACACCAACTTCTCCCTAGATAGCAAAAGAGGCTTGTCTTGCGACAGCAGCGCCAGCACCAGCACCCAAGCTCCAAAGCACACACAGCCACAGACATCTGGCAGGCACCCTGGAACGGCACTGCCAAAACCTTCTGGTAGCGGCACTCTCTGCTATAGACATCTAGCAGCGGCACCCTGCAGCAGCGCCAGCACCCAGACTCCCAAGTGTACGCCTGCACGCCTTCCTATACTTGAAGTAAGAACCCCAATAGCTCTCAGCTCTCGCTATCTAGGAAAAAATGGGGTGCTATGGCCCGCATGGAGAATTGGTGTATCATCTCTCAGGTCATCATCAGTCATCATCGCCCATCTTTGGGTGCAGTCACAGAATGGTCTCATCGGAAGGCCTGGACATCCCAAGTTACCAAGCCAACTCTGGATAGCATAAAGACTGTAAAGGAAGAGGTGTACGCAGATGTGCGCAGTGATATCCTCTTTAATCATGTCAGTGTACCTTTTGATTAAAGACATTTTGAATATATGTATATATATATATATCCTGTAAAGGAAGAGGGGTACAAAAGGTCTTTAAATCATACGCAGTGATATCCTGTCGCTTGACATGTACCCAACCACCTGACCTATGACGTCATCCTTAGAAACCCAAGTCGAAGAACTCACTCGCCAGAACTCACCGGCCCTGCGCCCGGCCCTGCGTCTCCCTTTGGTCGAAGTGACTGGACTCGGAGAGTTCTCGGCCTGGCCCCACTCTCTCCCAGTCCCTCCAAACTAACTCTGAGAGAAGCAGCTGATTCTGAATATCCAGGTGCGCGCGCATCTCTGCACCTTAAAAGCAAGCACCCGGCCCAAACATGGATGGAAATGACCAACCTCTAAGTGTGCACTGCTTCCCTCATCACTTCAGTGTGGGGTTCCCACCGCAGTGCAAAACAGAAGATCCAATCAGGTGCGAGGAACAACGGCATTGCCTCTCCTGCCTCTCCTCCCGGAGAACGGCGAGCTCTTCCTCCAGTGCCGAGCCGAGCGGAAGAACGGAGCGCTCCAGGTGCCGAGCGGAAGAGCGGCGCTTGTCTTCCCCCCCATGGCATAAACAAGCTGTTGGGGACCCGCCCCCAACAGCTTGGAGCTTCGCCTCCAAACCTGGGGTTCTACTTGTACAGGGACAAATGTTGATGGAAGCAAGAAACCTGAGCCCCTCATCATTCCGTGAATGGATCCACGGTGGTTTCTTGCACCAAAAGACTTGCGGATCTGGGACGAAAAAGATCACTCAACACATCCCGGGTCTCGCGGATCCAGAAAAGCATCCTCGGTCTGCTGAGTCTCCTGGGAAATTCCTTTACAGTATTTTACACACACGCTTTCAAAGCCGGGGGTAGGAAGAGGTGGTAGCTAACAAGTAGCATCTATGACAGTAGGTACAGGGTATGCTCCTGGCTACTAGACGCAGGATTCATTTGGTTCCTAGATTCAATGTCAAGTGACCATGCCAGTTGGAGCATGCGTACAAATAGATTCAGGATGATGTAGGCATAGTCAGACGTTGTGCGAGAAACGTCACCGAAAATCATCAAATATCTGTTTCGGGCCACCGTTTTTGATCTCTGCCGGATTGGCCGTCTGGCAACAACCGTCAAAAGCCATGACTATCGTTTGACCCCGACACGCAATTTCACTCTCCCAAGTGCACGGCTATCACTAGACTCCAGGTTTGACAAAAATCCACACAATTCCCAAAATCCAGCCAAGTCTCCTCTTCAAAGTTGCTATTCTCTTGTAGTCCCCTTCTCTGGAGTTTGCACTCCTCTGCCTGAATGTGAACACACCGTTTTGATTGCACCCCGCTGATTCTCAAAAATAGCAAACCAACTGCAGTTTTCGCATGTAGAAACGGGATGTCAGTATTCGATGCAACCCAGCATGGAGAAGTTGCGCCCCACTTTTCAAGTGTTTTCAAGTGGATGAAGACATGCAGTAGTCGTCGGCCAATTCACCATTTCATCACTTGAGAAGAGTCCACTGTTCCCTCTCGACCAGATCTCAGCACGCCTCCAGCTCGGCAGCTAGGCGTTCCTCTCTGCTTTTGGGGAGCTCTGTGCTGGTTTGTTGCCATTGCTGGCATAAGTCGACCTGAGTCCTGGAATAGAGCAACGGGAACTGATGCGAACACAGGTACAAGTCGCAGGATGTTGCAGGGCATTTTCTCAGAGTGCTGATGTTCGCGTAGGGATCAAATCTCCCTGAGACCATGAGACCAAAACGAAGAATACGATGACGATGCTACATGGAGCTCATGGATCATGGCGATCCTTGAAGCTATGAGGCTCAACTCAGCACTCAATGGAAAATGCCCTCGAAGAGAAGATTCCCAAACCGACGAGGAGGTTCCAGTTCGTTTCCCATGGCTTCATGAACGCATCGCGTTTTCACGCGCGTCGGAGAATCATGTTGGCCAGTCGCATCTACGCCTTCAAGAACCCTTCCCTTTGCACATCAAAAACGAAAAGCGAATTAAAAGAAACACATAGGATCAGAGGCAGAACTCGTTCCTGCCTTTCTGAGTCGATCAAGATTGGACTTGGACCAGGTGACAAATCCTGCACAAGACAGGACAAAATGCTGCTCCGATTGTTGGAAGGCAGCTACCCGTCTCCTTTGCGACCGATTGAAAACACCGTTTCTTTGCGACCGTTTGCTACCAGTACAGGCACATTCTCGAGCGATGTCCCCTTCTGGCTCGGCTACTAACGGAGCGAGATAGGACGCTACTAGGGCCTAGGGGCTCCTGGCCATACTACTAGTAGCAAGGACACTACGAACGGAGCAGAGGGCATCGCGTAGCGAACGGAGCGATCGGACGCTACTACGGGCTCCTGGCCTTAGTACTAGGAACAAGGACGCTACTAGGACGCTACTAGCTATTGGCTCTTGTTTGGCTCTTCATCCCTTCGAGCCGCCCCCCCTCGAGCGTCGTCTCCTCTGCCGCTGCTCAGAGGTCCCGGAACGTTCCGCAAGCAGCTCAACCACGGAGCTCTGGAGTGGCGCCACCTCCGGTGAATCCCGAGAAAGGCAGAGAAAGGCGACCGGCGGTGCGAAGATGGAACATGAGTTGGGAAAAGAAGTGTGACATGAAAAATGTTAATGGTCCTTAGCTGTTCTGATGTTTGGTCTTGAGCAATTTCAAAGGGCAGCTCAGCAGGTTGAGAAGCTGGGTTGGCTAAATTGAGGACCAAAAATACATACCAAGGCTACTGCGGTGCAACAGGAACACTTTGAGGGAATGGATGAACTCGAGAGATGAACTCGAGTTCATCTAATGGCTAGCGGCTAGTGGCAGGAGCGTTCATCCATCAGGTCAATCAACACCAGGAAGTGAACTCAAATACCCAATATATTCTGTAATGGTTCAATGGCTAATGACATAGATGATATCAAATGGTGACAAAATACCTAGACCTTGCACAGTGCAGTATTGAAAGTTACCAAGAGGACATTCCGCAAAATGTCTATGTTATCCTAAGTTGTGAAGTTTCAATATGTGCACAGGCTTAGGTATTTGTTCATGTTGGTAGTGTTGATCGGTGCTCGACAAGACTGAGGCCATTCGATGGTTAGAGCTGGATTCGGAAACTGATCAGTCGGATTCTGAAACTAGGATTCTGAAACTGGGATTCTGAAACTTGTATTCTGAGACTGGAAAGTCAGATTCTGCAACTGGTATTCTGAAACTGGAAAGTCAGATTCTGCAACTGACATACTGAAACTGGTATTCTGCAACTGGTGATCTCCACATGATGCGATAGCGTGTGCCTGTGACTTCATCTTCGAAGCGCATCCAAGCCAACGTCATTAGCCCCCCACCCAACCCCCCCTTGTCCCCATCGTGTGATCTCGGCATCACGCCAACCCCCTCATCATTCACAAAAGTTGCGGAATCCTAGCGAGGGAATTTTGCGGAATCCTAGTTGCGGAACGCTAGTTGCGGAATCCCAGTTGCAGAATCTTAGTTGCGGAATCCTGACAGTTGCGGAATCCTAGTTTCGGAATTCTAGTTGCGGAATCCTAGTTGCGGAATCCTAGTTGCGGAATCCTAGTTGAGGAATCCCAGTTGCGGAATCCTACAAGTAGTTTCGGAATCCCAGTTGCGGAATCCGACCAAATAGTTGCGGAATCCTAGTTGCGGAATCCTGCGCAGTTGCGGAACTCGACTTTATCCCCATTCGACGGCTTTGTGCGTGTCTCAGTCTCAAGTGCAGAGCATGACCATGTCTTTCTGCTGCCCTTTCTTGTGAGTTGTATTCAAGAGTGCCGACAGATTAGCTTTTTATGCAAATCAGCTCTACTAGAATACAATGAATGCCATGAATCTAACATGGTTCTGCATGTTTGGTCCAAATGGCACGGATTGTAGAATTATCTACACCATGAACCCATCTTCAGTTCAGTTCAGTGTGGCCGTCATTCAACATCACTGGAACACCCGCTCCCTGCCGTGTCGTACTCCAAAAGACGCATCTCATCCACCGCGGTTCTCTGTTTGCACTGCGGGCATTCGCCTGAGCCGGAACATGACCAAATCTTCAGTCTTCCAGTAGAAAGAGATCCCAAGTAGCACGCTAGACATGGAAAGATAGACATAGACATGGACATAGATGAACCTTCTCCACTCAATGGTCCGGAAAGAATCGAAGTCGTCGAAGCCTTGATTCGTCATATTGAACCTTTTTTGGTGACCAATGTCAGTTCATTCAGAAAAGGACTTCTCCCACCATCCATTGCCATCCATCTGCGCCATGCACGTGACCAAACGCCGGGGCGTGCGACCCATGCCTTGGTCGCCCGGGAGTTTGGAGGCGCGCAGCCATCCTGTGATGCACTCCCTGGCGTCGGATCTGTTGAAAAAGAGGGATCACTCCCAGCCCTTTGGTGCCTTCCAAGACCATTGAACAAGAGGTTAACCTGGTGTTCTCTATGTTGAAGAGGTGCGTTGGCACTACAGCAAGCAGGAGGCACGGCTATATTGAAAGGACCCTGGGAAAAAGGGCCTGTCCCACCGTTCTCCGTTGCGCTGCAAGACCCCCTTGTTTTGAAGGGAGACTCCTGATGCGGAGCACCTCCAAACAGAGATACCAACGCACTGCTGGATCCAACGTGCTCCCGTCTCCGGATCCAACGTGCTGGCACAGGAGGCCCTAAACACAACGGAAAGGTTCACACATTGATAAGAAAAAGTGAGTTGAAACAGAGTTGGTCTGACTTGTGGCGTTGGAACATGAAGAATATCCTTTACCTACATCTAAGATAATCGATGCTTGAGCATCATTCTTGCTTGTCGACATCCATGGCATGGTTTGTTGAAATCAAAACAAAAGCAAATTATTGTGTTGTTTGAGAAATAGATTATATGTTTATGTTATGTGCTCTGTGGAGTGATATACCTACATATATATATACATATAAGTATGTGTATATCAATATCTGCTCTCGAGGCTGCAATGCTTCGCTTCGGATTCCTACAGCACATGTGTGGAAGACTTCGCTTCGGCACCGCAAAGGGGATGGTGGGTGTTTCTCTTGGTCAATCACGGTCGACACACCAGAAGTTTCATGGATGATTGGCAGAACCCACCGGGCAACCAACCTCAATGCAGTCCTGAGTAGCCCACGAGACCTTCGCCCACCTGGCCTATGGTAGACATGGCCACAGCACAAAGCCGCAATGGGCTTCTGGAAGATGTCCTCATAGCCTTGGTCAACCCGCTTGGAGTCAAAGAGAAGCTACAAAAAGGAGAACCTGGTTTCGTAGATCAGAAACACATGCAGGACTTCCAAACCCAGGGAGCTTAGTTGAATGCTCCAAACACCAAACGCACGCAAACTCTTGTTGTGAGGGTGAATGGCCGGATCAGCTGGATACTCTGGAATCCAGGGTTGATCTCTCAGACATCATTGATACAATCTCACTTTTCTGCGCGGGGTTCCCTATCTCCAGGACCACCAAGGCAAGGAAGCTTCCATTGCTAGGCCATCAGCCCTGCCAGAAAAATACACAAACAGCAGAGGATGGTCTTCTAAATGCCTGGCCACAGCCATTTCTTTGACACGGCGAAGACTAGCTTGTGGTTCCTGCAGCGGTACACCCAGACCACTTCGGCGGGATGTGCTTGGGTGCCGAAAAAAAGGGATACAGTATCAATCAGTTGCCACACACCAACATTTAAAAAAGCTGTGCAGCCCGTGCAGCCCCTTGAATGTAAGCATAAAAAGTCACACGGTAGTCCAAGCTCCAAAATATGCAGGCGAAATAGGAGCAAATCACTAAGCCAGTTGCCATTTCAACCCCGTCCAGAATCCATCCATCGCCCCCCCCCTCCCTTCCAGCAACCTGTCCCTCTCCCTCTGAACCATCTCTCTTTTCTACAGGCCCGGGCAAATGAGGCACATCTCCTGATCGTCTGCCATGGCTCAGACCTGAAAAAAGAACGGGCTCCAACAAATCAGACAAGACCCACTTCCAGGAGTGCTGTGCTATATAGTCCAGGCATGGTCGGATGCACAGTCCTTCCAGTTTGCCTTTTTCGACTCAAGATCTCACATGGGCGAACTCTCAAACTTACACGGTCACACAGGTCACCAATCTGCGGATAGGTAGATTCAGTAGATTCTTGAAAGAGTGGCCTGTGGGGCTGCCCATGCCTGTTAACTGTTGCCGTTACCCTCGCATTGCTAAAAATGCAAGCACTGCTGATTCCGGATCCCTTCATTACCCACCACAATCTGGAGTCAACTGTTCTTCATCCCCCTGCTTCGCTATAAAACTGCTGAAGTGAACCTTCTCCTTCTTTGGTGTCCGGTGCCCGAATTGCCACGGCCCCACTGGGTGGACCCGGCCGACCAACGTGGCCCAACGTCGGGCCACGTGGCCCGTCCGTCGCCCAGGAAACGCGGCAGTTGGCAGTTGGGGCTGTTGTTGGCTCACAGGTGGTGCTGGCTTTGGGCCAGATCGCAAAGGCTGTATGTAAGTGTGTGTGTGTGTATGTGTATATATATATATACATATAAGGATCTTTTTGGCCGATTGAGTGGCCCTCCGCAGGCCTCCATGTGCCTTTTGGTAAGCGCTCTTTGGTCAAACTGGGAGTTTGAAAAATCAATCACACTGAAGCACTGCGTATATCTGCGCATGGGGCGCGCTCCCGCTATGGTGCATGGTTGGTCAATTTCTTTTTCATGGTCTAGTTCGTGGTGTGAACCAAAAACTTCGACGACCAACGGCGATAGTCTCGTCCAGTCCAGCGGGATCCGTGGGTTCGATTGAGGACAATCTCGCTCAAAGGCGCCGAGCGGCAAAGGCATCAGTTTTCTTCGGTTCGTTTCACTACCATCGCGATTGGACCACCAAGGCCTTTGTGTGTGTGTGTTGAGCTCTTCACTGTCTTCCCCCAACATACCAGATCAAGCAGCTGAGGATCTTCCAACTTCGCTGTCTCGCCATCAGTCGTTGGCACGTCGTCCGGGACCGTCCAAAAACGGGGTGTTCTTGGGTCGGAAAAGAAAGGGCACGGAACATCCAAGCACTTTCTCAAAGCGTTCCGTCAACGCACGCCGTTCGTTGAATCATTTGAAGGGGGGAACTCCTCTTAGGGATTAGGAGTCTTTTGGGGGGACACGGATTCGATTGACAAACAGAATCTTCCAGATCACTGACAGCATTTGCAGTGAAGTGATTTGAGAATTTCTTGAAGCAACATGGAACTCTATACAGGAGATCGAATAAACGATGCCAGCTTCTTGCCGTTGTTGGATAAAGAGATGGGTGTGAGACTCCTCTTTTGTCCTGTAGATCAAGCCCATTGGACAAAATAGAAAGTAAATGGAGTATGATGTAGTATGATGCTGAGCTGGTGGCATGGAAAGAATCAACTCTGCAACTCAACCAACAACGTGGGTTGTGTGTGTGTGTGTGACAAGAAACAAATGAAAAGAGCTAAAAGGGCAATCATCCACCCACGCATGCAAGTAGATGCGACGCGAAAATGATATGCATTGGTTGATGTTCTGACAAGGATCTCTCTCCTACCAAAACAGCCGTGATAGCCACAATCGTCATGTCCTTTCTGCAAAACACATCAATCTGTGGAATGGGCCGCGGCATAAAGGAGGGCCCATTGCAGAAAGAACCGCATATCATATCCAGTTACTAGATGTTACTAGACCGTCTCCAAAAGATCCGAAAGGTTTGGGGCTCAAAGCACTGTTGAAACAAAAGCCGTTGATGGGACAACATCTGCACCTCACGTAGAGGACCTCCCATTCCCATGTGGCGGGCCTAGGGTATCCTAGGGTGCTAGTACAAGCCACGTCCACAGCCATGTCGCAGCGTTTCCGCCTTTGGTTCCTCAGCGTTTCAGGAGTTCGTCCCTCAGCCGGTCCGCTAAACCAGTCTGAGGCCGCTCATAGCCCTGTCACAAAGGCCGGTCCGCATGTGAGTTTGGAAAGTCCGAAGTCAGGAGTCAGGTCAGAATTGGCTGACTCATCTCAGGGAATTGGGTTTCAAGGTCACCCAATTGGTTGTGAAAAGGACCTCTTGCCTCTTGAAATCAAGTTGAGAAGAAAGGAACACCAGCTGGAAATCCTAAAGGGTTCATGCATGTCCTTTGATCCTGCGAAGTCTTGGCAAAATGGCTTGCTCATCCAGGCCTCCACAATGCCATCGCCTGGCCGAGAGTTCAGTTGGAGATTGCCTACCATGCTGATCTGGGTCCGAGGTATAAACAAAGAAGCATCAACTGCATCAATCTCTATCTTCATCTGGATAAGGCTTGTGCTGAAAATGAATCATTGCAGAGCTTGCGAAAGGTGAGCACTCAGACTGGGTGAGCACTCACTGTTCAACACCGCTGATTCCGTTTTTAAAATGATGGGCTGATGGGCTGCAGACTTCCACTGTTCCTAGTAGTAAGGCCAGGAGCCCCTAGTAGCGTCCTTTGCTCCTAGTAGCGATGCCAGGAGCCCCTAGTAGCTTCTTGTTCCTAGTAGTAAGGCCAGGAGCCCCTAGTAGCGTCCTTGCTCCTAGTAGCGATGCCAGGAGCCCGTACTAGCTTCTTGTTCCTAGTAGTAAGGCCAGGAGCCCCTAGAAGCGTCCTTGCTCCTAGTAGCGATGCTTGGAGCCCCTAGTAGCTTCTTGTTCCTAGTAGTAAGGCCAGGAGCCCCTAGTAGCGTCCTTTGCTCCTAGTAGCGATGCCCGGAGCCCCTAGTAGCTTCCTTGTTCCTACGGAGTACTAGGGGAATCAGCAAGACACACTTTGGAAGATGAGAGGTATCGACTGACGTTTTTTTCGCGTATCGACCAGTGCCTTTCAGCGTGTCCAGGAGCCGCGGAAGGAAGTCCTGGCTGTGAAGAAGAATGGCTTCGAAGCGCAGCACTTCGATGAGATTTGATTTGGATCAGCGTGGGACTGTAGGAGGATTGCGATGGATATTAGACGGAAAGAAAAACATTGTATTCACTAAATACATAGATAGCTGGACAAATGGGTTCGTATGTCTGCAGTGAACAGCCAGTACGTTAGATTGGATTCGCAGGCAGCAACACGAATGGACAGTATGGAGAGAAAAACTATTATAGGATCGCACAAGAGAGAAAGATGGGCCTCCGATGGTGCGCACCATCACACACACACAGAACTCGCTGCCAGGCCTTTTTCAAATCATGTACTGGTGGTTGACCAACATGCACGGGTGGAGCTGTCAAGGACGAGCTCCGTTACTGTCAGCGTCCTGTGTTCATCAAACTTCTGAGCATAAACATCCCTGTGCGTCAATCGTGCTCTTCACCTTACATCACTTTTCAGGCCCCGGAAGGTGAATGTGCTTCAAAGCGCTGCCTCGCATGACTGAACTAGGCCTGTTTTCATGTCTTTCTGGAGCAGTCAGAAAAAAGAAAGAAAACTTCCTGGTATCGTCAACCTTTTTGCTCGCCTTCTATGTGGGTTCAAGGATCAATCAAACCGGTACCTTTGCTCGTTTTGTGACCTTGCTTCTCAGGGCGATGCTCTTTCACCCATTCACATGAAACACCTACCAAAATGAAAAAATAATATATTTTATTATTACCTAGCTTCCCTATCATGGATGTTCTGTAGAATTTGGACAACATGTATTGGTCCAGCCGCCCAAACAAGTCGCCCATCCTCATCCAGCAGCTCGTGCACACTGCGCTGGCGGCGCCGCAACTCCTGGCCACCAGCGAAGTGACCGGAGATGGACGCATGGGCACGGCCCAACAGGATGCAGCATGGTTTTGCTTTCGAGGTGTTTTCCACTCCCACCATCACGGTCTTTTTCCGCACTTGTTTTTGGGGGAGGGAGTATTGAGAAAATGCCATGGGCAACAACACGATGCGCACCTTTGGAAATGCCATCAACCAAAATGGAAGCGTCCAACCCAAAAAGTGCTCTGCACTGTGCGGAAAGGTAGCAATGATGAAGCCTGGATGCTTCAGATGTCCAGAACAACCGGCAGTCGGTCACAGTGTCTACCAGAACGATGGTATCGTTCATGACACACGGCCCTTTTCCAATTCTCGAACCAACCTACACACAAGCTCATTGACCCGGCTCTTTGACTGTGCATGACATAGTTGTTCTTACATATTCTTTTGGTACTTGTGGGTATTTTATGGGTCATAGTAAAGCGAGGACATGTGACACATGTGGCACATGTGGCCCTGAACTAAGGAACGCAAACCGAGAGGACCGCCCCCCCCGGCCGTCTCGGAGACCTGGTTGCAGCATTCCAAGAGCTCTCGGCGGGCCACGCCATTCCGTTCGGCTTGCTGGGCCAGAAGGGACCAAGCATCCGGATGTTCCTGGCGGAGGGGCGAGGCGGCGAGGATCCGGGAACAAACGAGGCTCCTTGGTGGATGGCAAGGCCCTTTGGAATACGAGGTTCCACTTCTATGTGTTCTGCTACTGCCCTGTGATTTCAATTAATGCCAAACTTCTACGATCTAATATTCAAAATCATCACCAGGCATGTGCACGACTCACAGTGTCTGCCTCAACCAGGAATTTCACTTACCTCTTACCCTCGCCTGGTCTAACTCGGACATCCCCTCACACCTGGCTACATCCCTTCTGTTCACCTGACTGCATTACTGCATTTTGTCTCAGCCAAAACGAATCAGTGTCATGCCCCCCACCGCACCCCTGCTCCCCCGACACGCACCGACCCGCACGTTGAAATCGCACCTCGCTGAGGCGTGGCACACGGGAGAGCTGCTGCACCAAGTTGAAGGTGTCCGCCTGGCAGAAACGAAATCTCGACGCCCGATGAGAAAACTCCTGACTCTTGGGAAGACTCTGTTCCTCCACAAAATGGGTCTTTGGCCACTTCTGTGTGAGCAAGTCAATATTCCCCGCTTCAACCAATCTCGCAGTACTTATGTGAAGTTCTGGAAAAGCCTTCCTCCAAGGGCTGCATCTTCAACCAAACAGGTTCTGCTTTGATCTGCTTTGTACAGTAGACGTTTTTGTAGTTGTGATATACCGGCACACATGCCCTGGTATGAATGTAACACCACATTAAAGGCCTGCTCAAGGGAATGGGAAGGCTGATTTGATGGAATTCTCTGAATACGGAGCTGCACTTGTCTGCAAAACCTTGGATCAAGAAAACTTGCTCAAATATTCTGGATCGTGCCGCTGACCAAAACAGAGTTCAAGTGTGAAATACACTTGCTCTGAACTCTGGTTGCATAAGATTTGGTGCGCTGCCTATAGCGAACAAAACAGAAACAGGACGTGTCACAAGACAAGAAACCTCATTCCGAGTTTGCAAATGCCAAGGCTGTTCCGGCTGAGCAACATTATGCAATGTCTTACTAATGTCCATATCAATGTTCGGATGGTGGGTGCAGCTTGCCCATCAAGCACCATAAAGGAGAACTGACCCATTCAAAGCACAAGTGTTACATAAAAAGACTTGAAGGAGAAGAGACGAACACTGGAGGCTGGAAGGAATGCGTTCCTGTACTTTAGAACTCGAGGAAAACGAGAGAGAGAGAGAGATGGAGTCAGGAAAGAGGGCAGGAATGTCCACATTGCATTTGGAGGCGACTATATCCAACGTGCAAATAGTTGCACAAATATTTGTATGTCACATGAATCAGACGAATACTTCCTCCACCTTGTCTGTGTGTGTGTGCATGTGCAAGCGTCAGCTGATCTTGCTAGCCGCTGGTAGTCTCACAGTGATGTGGAACATTGCATGTGGAATTAAGATGAAATGAAATAAGTGCAAACTTCAACCAAAGACTCCAAGGGATACTCTACCCCTGTTTCCGAGGACATGTTCCTGAGCTCTTGAGAAGCTTTCTACGGTGCAAGTACACAAGGTGTATGTGTTTAAGGGGAGGTGTTACAAAGCCCATTCTCGTATCCCACATTGAAATCATGCCTGGAGTCCTAGAGTACATTTGCTTGCAATGAATCATGATATCAACATACACCGATACTGCACGGTTGATATCAAACCTTGCATTTCATGACTTCGTGTCCAGGCCGGCCATGGTGCCCGGCAATGGCAAACCCCAAAGCGAGCCACTCGATATGGTCGAAACAGGTCAAAACCGCTCAAACGACTTCAGTCACTAGCGATGGCCTCCAACCTAGAAGCAGTGGCCTCCCCCTACTAGCGATGGCCTCCAACCTACTAGCGAGGAGAGCATCACAGCACTCAAATCTTTCCCCCAGGACGAAAGAGCTGGTGAACACTAGGTCATGCCGCGCATGACCGCGAACATGACCGGTCAGGCTGACAAATGCTGCCACTCTCCAAATTCGGTGAAGAAGGAAGCATCCATGTTTGGGGCAATCATACTTTGACTGAACATGATCCGCGCAAGCTATCGAAATCATTGAAGACCCACATTTGTTACAACCCTAACACACCAGCTGTTTCAGCTTGAGGGTCCAATCCATCCTCAATACAAACATATGTTTGTATATATATATATACACATATATTTACAATACCCCCATGTATGTTGTTTGTCACGGACTGGTTGCGAACATTCGCAGACTCCGTGCACAGGAAAGCGGTGCGCGTTCAGATGTCATAGTCAGACACAGACACAACCTGAAAACTGTAACAAACTTGTTAACAAGGGTTCACCCCTTGGCCAATAGGTTTGGGTCTTTCCTCCCCTGTAGGGATCTCTCTATGCTCGCACATACCTATATTGGAGTGAATTCAAGGAAACACATCCTGGATGCACCAGCACTGTCAGCACATTTGAAGCAACTTACCGCTTGCTCACAAGCGGTCCAAGCCCAGCCCCTCTTCGTGCTCTGGAGGTCATAGGATCGGCATCGAAGAAAAGAAGCTGTAGCTCTTGGGAAAAACAGCTGATCGCATGAGTCGTAGGTTTTGTTCACCTATATATATATACTATATATACATATAAAGCAAAATTCTTGTCGACGTGCACAATGTCAAAGGTCTTTCTCGTCCTTCTCTCGGCACATGGCACTAAAAAATATGCACTTGTATTCAAAAATCCTGGTTTGTGGTCGCAGGTCTCTGATTAGTAAAGGAAAGTCGTGCTCAAGAGACTTACCAATGATTGAATCAGTGAGCTTTCGTGGACGGTCATACCAGAAAGAAGAGTCATTTACGGGAATATCAATGTCAATTACCCCAGTGAGACTCAAGGTTTCAATAACAAATACCTTAGGTCGGTCAAGAAACAATCTACTTCTATAGTTGCCGGCACATTACTCCTGAAATAGTTGTCAAATGGAGGTTGATGGTAATTATATGACTGTCCAATCTGTGCACACATGCTTCACCATCCTGACCCCCAGAACCTTTTCAACAAAATCCTCACAGCTCTGTCGGCCGTGCTGTTTTGGCCAAGGTCCTTGGAGTCCTTGGCCTATCAATCTGCACAGGCAAGCCCCAGTCTGTGTGATCTTTCGGATCGAAACGGCTTGATTTGGCTGCGGGTCATCTCGCAACCTTGGGAGAGACCCCGAAACAGAACCAATTGGACCGTTTGACGTCAACCAATCCCTCACTCACAGTGGACAGACTCTTTACACCGATTCGAAGTACTTCTTACACAAGAGGGTAGGCTGCGACAGCAGGAAGCGACAGAACCTGAGCAATATCTGTTTGCCAGATCCAGCCCAAGGCTACTAAAAGCAGCAAGCTCAAAACCCATACCCCTGGTGAACACAGCGAACACCTGACTAGCTGACTAGCTTGTGCATCAAGCAGCATCCCCTAACAAAAAGCTCAAAAGAGTGGTGATCAATCTCAGAACGACGAGACTGTTGGACCTGAGAAAGAAAAATGCCACCCATGTAAAAGCGCAAGCACTTCTGCCAGCAGGTGGTGGGTTGTACAGAGTAATGACTTGCTGCATACTATGCACATGAAGGTCCCATCAAAAAAGAATGACTGTCCAAAAAAAATGATAGTAGTAGAGAGTAGGTAGAGAGAGAGAGAGAGAAAGCGCGCGAGAGAGATCTAGCTCATTCAAATACTGCCCTCTTGAAGATCACACAGCAAGCTCAGGAACACGGGGAGATCATGCCTCCAGCCAGCTGCGCGGGACTTCTGGTCACGGTTCCCATGACAAATCCTAAAAGTATGTCTTTGCCGAGTTTGGCTTTGCCCGGATCTTTGGCCAGATCATTCAACCCCGACAAATCCTCAAACCACATTTGGTGAACAATTGAACAAGCAGGTCAAACAAAACAGGCTGACTTCGGATGCTGATCGGGCCAATGTGAGGCGAGCGTTGGACATGGGGTGTGAGGCAGTCCCAGTGGATGCTAACCATGGTCCCAAGCATCAAACCATCCTGCGCAGTCGTATTCCCTCATTCCTTAGCAAGAACCCGACAGCCAGTGTAGAGTCTTAGACCTCTCAGAAGAGCTAACACCGCACCTTCTTGGCCTTCTTTTTGGGCGCTGGCTTCTCCTCAGCGCTTCAGCCGCCGAGCCATGAGAGCTTCGAGGTGAAGTGAAGGGTGTGCACGCTTTCTGTGACCAAAAACGGACATGGCAATTTCAAAAACAAAACGTTAAATTTGCCCCTCGCTACATGCAATCGTGAGTTGCCAGCTCGTGTGTAGATTCCTTGAAGGCTTCGCCACCGATCATGCTGACAGAATTTCCGACTAGATTGCTAACTTGCAAACAACGACTGCAACTTGACGACCGTTTTTTCTATGGCAGTGTTTGAGGGAAAATCGGTTTCACCTCCCCTCCCAAATGTAGTAGTTTGGGGCAATTGGTGACCTTCACAATGAACATGATTCCTCAAACTTCATTTCACGGCCTATCCGTTTTGCTGCCCAAACTGTACCAAGGCACCAGTCTGTTTTGACCACCCCACCTGAGGAAACGGATAAGTCTACGTCGTCAATGTCAGTCCAAAGACTTGATGGGCTCGCCTGGAAACAAGAATTTCAGTCTGTGTTTAAACGTCCCACGGCTTCGCCTTCGGAAAATACTGCACGCCCCGCCTGAACTGACACCCCCAGTTCTGACTACTGTAATTCCTGCACCAACCGACGTAGCATACCATGCATTCGTTCTTTGACCATGACGTTTGGTCCAAAACACCTTCGGCGTACCGTTCTGCGCAGCAAAAGGTTGCGCTGCTGTGCGTTGCGTGCGCGTCGTTCATGGCTTGGCTTTGATCACAACTACGGATATCTACAGATGGAGGATGATGGAGGATGGGTCCTCCTATGGTTGTGATGGACTGACATGGTCAGGTCCTCCTCTTCCGCTTCTTCTTCTTCTTCCTCGTCGTCATCACCATCATCATCAGCTTTTGGTTTGTAGTTCTTCATGGCTTCCTCCCACAGATACACGTCCGCAGGGTATGTGTCTGTGTCTGCGTGTCGAAGCGTCTTGCATATCTAATATCTATTTTACAATCTACAATATCAGGGATGTTTGGTTTGGTGCAACGTTTCGTTGACGATTCCGGAAAGAAGACTAGTGAGGGGTGGTCGATCATGACTGCAAAATCAGCACTCTAACCGGGAGCATCTTTGGCACCTAAAGACTGACGTACAATCATTGATTGAAGTCTGGGGTCGCTGCGCCAAGAGACCCACCTCTTGGAAATTCCAAGACGGGTAAACATGTCATCCACATCTCAAGACCGCGCCTCACCTAACTACATGTCATGTACACATCACATCAACTCAACTTGTGTGTGCGCGGGTGAGCTGAATCTGTGTGCGCAGGTGAGTCTGTGGTACCAGGCACAGCTTTGTATT